AAAGACGGAAAAAGGAAGAGGGCAGTCGATAAAGGTCGGATGTCAAGACGAGAGGAGAATCCGTTTGCATTACGTGCGATAAATCTAAAGAAAGATCATGCGACATGAAATTCCTCATGTGTCGCATACGAATCGCCAAACTATATTATCCTTGCTGCGAGATATTCCGTGCCAATTTTGTGACAACGCGCGGTTCAAAGGGCTCTGTCCTATGAAAATAGGAGATATGAGCAAGCTGGTGCGAGGCCGATCGTCATCGGGCGAGGTCGATAACGAGCGCGACGCGACGACGGAGGCACGAGCGAAACGCGACAATCAGAAGCCACTGAGGCACGGAAAGGGTAATCGGGAGATGAAAGAAAGTCGTCGGCAATTTGGGAGTGCACGGGAAAAAAAGAGGGGATGGGTAGCAAAAAGATCGGGTGTGCGGAATTCAAGAGAGCCGCCGATCGAGGGAAGGAAGAAAATGCGTATAGAGCACCACGAAAGAAAAGAGTTGGGAAAACCGTCAGGAAAAGGACGGTAGAACGGCGGTGGGCGGGAAAAGGAGGGAAGGGCGGGTAGGCGAGGGGTAAACCGATCGCGTAGCGCCGAAAAACATCCGTCCGTCGCATTCGGAGCGGCTCTTCTCTCGCGCAGGCAGGGAAGCCCGGCTTTGACCCGGTAGTCGGCGCGACACGGCACAGTCCGCGCGGCTGCCTGACGCATTGCAGGTGCGCGCCGGCCAATCACAGGCCCGGTTAGTTCGCCCGGACTCGTCCTGTAAACACGACCGCACCCACCCCGCCGTGTAAAACGGATTTGTTATACGGGGCGGTCGCGGGTACGCCGTACCGGCCCGCGGCCGCGGCGGCCACGTCGTCGTCGGCGCGCGGCGCATCTCGCTTTGCCTCGCGCGCGATGTATCCCACGCTCTTTCTCTCTCTTTCTCTCATGCTCGCGCCGTCCGCGTGAGCGATTAAAAACCGCCACGGGCCTTTTTTTCCGCATCTTTCGGCAATGGGGGAAGCCGCGTCGCGCGGGGTCTAACTTGCGACCGCGTAGGCGGCCGGCGCGTTGCGGCCGCCGCGCGTACCACCTCCCTCCGTGCCCCGCTCTGTACGGCGCGCCCCGCCGGCGCGACGGCGCGCGCCGATTGGCCGTCGCGCAACCCGTAAGGGGACGGCGTAGTGATATCCGGGCTGCGAGACTAGCGGCAGCCCACAGAGAGTCTCGCAGACCGAGAGAAGGACACGGTGGACTCCATTGCTGTCCCGAGTGCGTTTCTCGCCGGACTTGGTGATTCCACGTTACTGCGTGTCTGGTCCGCGCTCGTGCACGTTTAGGAAGTTAATTCTCCCGGTTAATCCGAACGCGGGGCGAGTCGTTTGCGAACGAGTGAGCGACTAATTCAATCGACCGACCGACCGACCGACGCACCGGAGGTTGTGATTTGAATACACTCTTGTTGTCCAGTGTGCGGGGTAAACGCGTGTGTTAACGCGGGCCGAGCCATCTCGTGCGTGACCGGAACGTGAAAAAAAAGGACCATAATGGTAAGTAGTATTCTTTCGCTTGTGCCGCGAATCGCGATTGACTCGCGAAAATTAATACCGCCCGTGACGTTGCGTACTTCGTTTTTCGTGCTGCCTTTTACGTATAAGCTCCGTCGTCATCGTCATCATCATCATTATCATTATCATTATCATTATCATTATAGTCATAATCATCATCATCATCATCATCATCATTATCATTATTATCGTCATCGTTATTGCCTTCGTAGTTGACATTGTCGTTGCCATCGTCATCGTCGTTATCGTCATCGTCGTTGGTTCGGCCGAGAGCCGTGCCTTCGAGAGCTCTCGGTCTTGCCGCATTGACGGCGTCGCGGAGCGCACGTGCGAGCGCAGAACCATTATATAGAGCAATGCGCAATTTACAATCGCGAGATTACAATGCGTAATTTACAATCGCATTTAAATTCGCCCTCGTCCATGCACTCCATTTTTTTTATCCGTGTCCACCGGCAGGACGGATTTCCTTTTCTGGAAGGATCGGCGAGAGCTTCGGTCTCTCGCTCTTTCTCTCTTCGTTGCTATCTATACATCCTTCTCCCTCTCTTTCTCTCTTCGTTGGCCGTTCATTGTCAGCCTCGTCGCTCGAAGCGTACTTCGCTCATGCCGCCCCTGAGACTGCCCTGACTCCCCGTGATTATCGATCCGGCATGGCCGTCTAACACTTCTCTCGCCGAGTTTCTTCCACGGCGGCAATGAGGAAAAATCTGCATCCGCGCGAGCGGAAGTAACGGCCAATCGATCGTCGTCATATAAAGAGAGAGAAA